ACAATGTCATGTCACAGAGTCAATGTCAACGACAAGTCGATTGTGAGCTCCCCTAGGAAGGCTTTATTTTACGGTGAAAGCTCTTGTCTGGAAAGCTAGCAATTTTTTTTTTTTTTCGGGATTGTAACAAAAAGATCCGACAGCTAGATGCGTTCTGTGATCGGTGTCACCTGCGGCTTAAAGCTGAACTCCAGTCAAACGGCTAAACACGCAGATGGAATACACATAAAGGAGCTGTTTTACCTGCCAATGGATTTGTGGTCCTGTCCATCTAGTTTTGACATTTACTCTGCTCTGCCACATAGCACAGCCCTGTCTGGCAAGGCAAGAGACCTGAATGTTTTCTCCTGCAGTTTTCCCTTTCACTTACACGTTTTCTTTCCCACTCTTAGCCTGTGACTGGATAGTGAAAGGAGAAGCAGCAGACTGATGAGCTCATCTCTTTGTCATTCTGCTCTCTTCTCCTATCAGCATCTTCTGACTGACAGTCACTTGGTGTCACCCCCTCTGAAAAGTCAGCCACTCAGTCATGGACTGAGAGCCCTACAGCTGCATGAGACCGGGGGGATTTTTTTCACCTCCAGCATCCTGCCCAAATCACTGACATAGCACGGGATGTCGGCAAGAGTGTCACAGGATGCTCTTATCAACCTAGGATGATAGGGATGTCGGCAAGAGCTCTTATCAACCTAGGACGCTCTGGCAGGAAAGGGGACGGCAGGCAAACCTGATGCCCCCCCTTCCTCCACGTGACCCGAAAGGATGCCGCCCAAGGCAACAGCCTCATTATATGGACGGCCCTGACTGATGGATTTAAACCACTGTCGGACTTTGTTGCCATTTGTGCCCAATTGGGAAGGTTTCCATTCACTTCTTGTCACATGGACTCATCGGGAGTGACAGTCACTGCAACAAGTGTCTCCATTGGACAGAATATTTCCCCTATTATTGTTTCGGTGATTGATTATAAGAAAGGCATCTTTGGCTGCTGAAAGAGTGAAGAAATTCCTTGGTTGTATATTCTTCTCTTTGGAGGAATGCCACTGTGCATCTTCGCAGGCAAGACTCATTTGAAGCCTTTCCAGGTTATCCACAGCGATTGCCAGCGTACTAATGTGCTGGTGTATTGACTGTGCTGCGCTAACAACCTATTAGCGATGTCTTTCCCACGCCAGAATTTCATTTTGAGAAAAAAAACGAAGACCTTTCTTCGAAGAAGTAAGGAGCCACGCACGGCCTAGTAATTAGGATTCCTAATCTCGTCTTAGGTTTTATCTACAAGAAAGGCTATAGCTCTGAATTTGAAAGTGAGCTGATGCAGCCCACAAAATGGCAGCTTCAGCCATCCTTGGTCATGATTTTACCCAACGGCCCACGGACTGAGAGCCCTAGGAGAAGTATTGGGAACTCATCCCAATAGCTACTAATCTCCCAGTGCCAGCAGTATCTGCTTGAACTCTTCTCCACCCTCCACAAGTTTGCAAGGTCGGCAGTGCTGAAGATCTACTATCCTGAGTGTCATCGGATCATGCCTCTATCTGATCTATTGTTCATGGGTAGCCTAAGGGAGGGACGCTAACAATAAAGGAAAGCAACTAGGCCCATGGCCAATAGAAACCCCAAGCGTGCAAAGAGTGGAGCTACATGCCATCCTAGCTACAGCAATCTACCAATATTGATAGACTATTAGGGCTTTTGTGTTTAAGAGCCACCAATGGAAATACCAGTGGTGCAAAGGATGGAGCTACATGCCATTCTGGCTACAGCACCATAACAATAACCATAGACTGTTAGGGCCTCTGCATTCAAGAGCCACCAAAGGAAAACCCAAGGGTGCAGCTTCATGCCACCCTGGCTACAGCACCAACTCAAAAACAATAATGATAGTCTATTAGGGGCTCTGCATTCAAGAGCAAGGGAAACCTCAGGGGTGCAAAGGGTGGAGCTATATGCCACACTAGCTACAGCACCATAACATTAATGATAGACTGCAAGGGCCCCTGCATTCAAGAGCCAACAATGGAAATCCCAAGGGTACAAAGGGGGGAGCTACTTTTCACCCTGGCTACAGCACCATAACAATAATGATAGACTATTAAGGCCCTCTGCAATCAAGAGCAGGCCTTGTAGAGAACAGACACTACTCATTGATATGATGTGGTCATAGTTGCTTTGCGGAATGAATGCATGTCTGTGGACACACCACGAACTTGACAGAAATCCCCTTGCCGATCAATCCTAGAGGAAGAACTGTTTGTCCAATATAGAGATGAAGTTCGGGTTCGCCACTACCTTGCTATCGTGGGTCCAAGGCTAATCCTATGGGTTTTAGATTTGCGGTTCCAGGGAATGTATGTGCAGATTTGCCCAGCAGAATTTTTTTACAACCATTTATACAAACCTTTTCTTAAAATAATGGGCTTTTGTTTCAGATAGTATGTTGGGGTTTTCATTTATTTGAGGTTGAACTGCTTTTTGTGCAGCAACGCTTTGCTCTCTAAAAAAAAAGTGGGCTATTGTTTTAGGAGAGGATATTACTTTGGAGTTTTCATTTTTTTTTTTTGTATTATTATTTTATGTTATTAGAACTTTTCGTAAGTGTAGGGTGCTCACAGTGCGGTATTTACTTGCTACCGACCATCTGTTCTTGAAGTTCCTCTTTTGTTCACAGGAAGCAGCTGCATTGTTTGAAGGAAGTTAAACTGAGTGCCAGAACAGTGTGCGCCTAAACCACCTCAAATACTATCAGTCACAGTCACTGCATCCCCCACTCCATAGTGAAAATAAAAATGACACCACTTAGGTCTATTATACCAATTTTACACTGCTGTATCCTCTGCAGTATCTTATTTCTTGTAGTATAGCCCCAGCCTGTGCTTTTTGTCTCTAGTAAGTTTGGGCCTAGTCTTGCTATTTAAAATTGTTGCCAATATTACATTTTGTTCTTGTAGTAAAACGCATGCCTGTACTCTTTTTCTCTGGTACATTTGAGCCAGTTCTCCTTCATTAAACACGTCCTGCTGCTGGGATGATCCTGCCACACAGCGCTCCATAGGAGCAACTGGAGCAGATCACTGTAAACACAATGGAGGGAATTTATCAAAAGTGGAGCAGACAAAATCAGGAGCAGTCGCCCACAGCAACCAATCAGCTTCTCTCTTCAGTTTATTCAGTTAAGATTTGAAAATGAAAGAAACAATCGTATTGCTTGTCATGCACATCTGCTCCAGATTTTGTCTGCTCAACTTTTGATAAATTCCCCTCTATGTTTCCGCATTGCGTTAATACTGGAAAGGATGGGACGTCATAAAAACAAAGACTGGCCAGCCTCTCAATGCAGTAGTAGATCACTGTTATTTTGGGATTCTGCTGCTGACTTCGCAGCCTCACTCTCCTAGCACATATTCACCAATTCAACCCCTTGATATCTAGCAAAACCTGAGATATCAATTTTGGGCAGGCTATCCATTTAAAATGTTTTATTAAAGCTGAACTCTAGGCAGATATAAAAGATAAGAATGAATGCAGTGCCAGTGGCGTCACTAGGGGGGTGCGGCCCGCACCCGGGTGACACCATTGGAGGGGTGACACCAAAATGACTGACAGTCATTTTGGTGTCACCCCCTCTTAAAAGTCAGGCACTCAGTCATGGAACGAGAGCCTGACAGTATCAGGAGAGAGGAGGGGACCCGGCAGCATACCTTATTCTGCCGGGTGAACCAAGATGGCTGCCGGCAGGTATCAATGGGATCGCCGTGCATGCGCGATGACATCATAGCGCACGTGCGTGGTGAAGTCATGCGCGATAACATCACGTCGGGGTGTCACGCGGTATTCCTCTCCGGGTGACACCCAGGCTCAGGATGCCCCTGTGCAGTTCTGTATTCATTAATACATTATTAAAGGGTAAGTCCACTTTCCCAAGTGAATGTGGGAAAATGGAATTACCCCATCTAATCTGGCCCCCTGTCTCCGGAAAATGCTTCTACCCCTTCGCCAGTACGGTTGTACTATGCATACTCCGTACTGCCATGTAGCGCAGCCCTGGGCTATGGATTTTTATTTTTTTCTCATTGGTCAGCACAGTCACTTGACCGCATTGGCCAATGAGAAGCACTTCTTAGCAAGAAGCGCTTGTCATTGGTCAGTGCAGTCAGAAGCGCTTCTCATTGGGGAGCACACACTGGTCAGCGTGGTCAAATGACTGTGCTAACCAATAAGTGCTCACCATTTGCAAGCAAAATTCAAAATCCATAGCGCAGGGCTGTGCTACACAGCAGTACGGGGTACGGATAGTACACCTGTACAGGCGGAGGGGAAGGAGCGTTTGCCGAAAGGTAAGTATAGCGGGGAGAGGGGGAGATGGGGGCTAGATTGAAGGGGTTGATTCCGTTTTTCCAAATTCCCTTGGAAAACTGGACTTAGCCGTCAAATGTATTTTTGTTTAAAGAGAAGCATTGCAAATACCTGAACTGAACTTGATCTGGTATCGGCCTCTTGCAGTCCCTGACACCAGATCTCAGACTGGGAGAAAAGCCACATCAGGAGCCAGTGATTTGGGTTGCAGTGCTCATGTGCTAGCAAGGAGCATGTTGCTAGGAGGAGAAAGCATTGACTGAGAGATTAGCTCATCAGTCTGCTGCTTCGCCTCTCACTGTCCAGTCACAGACTGGAGAAGGGGCAAAACCTAAAAATTTTATTGCAGCAGGTAAAAAAATGTGTCTCCTACCCTGCCCAACAGGGCTGCGCTGTGTGGCAAAGCTGTGTAAATCTAAATACCGGATGAACAGAAATATAAAAATTATTTGTCAGGTAAAACAGCTCCCATTTATGTATTTCATCTGTGCATTTAGCTGTTTGCCTGGAGTTCAGCCGTAAAGCTTTCAGGCAGCAAATCTGTCATTTTACAGTCACTTTGCGCACATCAGAATATGAAAAACTGTAATTTATATAATAGTGAAAGTAAGGAATAAGAACACGTTATTGTGACAGGCACTTACGGGGAGATGCAGTTGACCCTCACTCCTCTGTCAATCCATTCCGTTCCCAGCGTCTGTGTTAATTTCACCACACCGGCTTTTGAGGTGTTATAGGCTAACTGCTTCTGGGGGTGAGGAACTGCAAAAAAAAAAGAAGACAGTGCGAGACCTTATAACACTGACCGTTATTCTACATGGATACAATCTCTCCCACAGCATATAAACGGCTCGTTCAAAAGTATGCCGCAGTCACATATTAATATTTATTGCTTTTTTTGAGCTGACATTGGCACCCACCCTGAGTGGATCTACTTTTCCACCTTAAGGCCCCGTTCACATTGAGCGGTTCGCAAATCGCACGTTTGTCGCGCGATTTGCATTTTGCGCGATGTCGCGCGATATCGCGCAAATGCTTGCATTGAGCAAGCTTGAATGGCGGCTAAATCCGCTCCAAAAAGGGTCCTGCTGTAGCGACGCACGACCCGCGACAGCAGGACCCTTTGCCCCATTGAGAAGCATTGGAGAGCGATATTGCGCGGTAAATTGTCGCGATATCGCGGGAATGACCGCGCGATGAATCGCTCAATGTGAACGGGACCTTAGAGATATCCCATCGCACTCCAAACTGATACTGTATATCCTTAGGTGTAGCTTAAATGGGTGCTGAAATGGGTGGCACCGTAAGACTAAAGGAGGTAATGAGGTCACCAGCACACCAAGGTCCAATTCATCGATCTGAGCATTTGCTTGTGACACTATCAGGGCTGTTCACAAAAGGGTGAAGAGTTTGAAGAAGGCAGAAGTGAAAACATCTAGGACAACATAGCTGATTTGGAAAAATTCTCCGATTCAGCTCACTTTCCAGGCCAGTTTCCATCTATGTTGTCCTAGATTGTTCACTTCCCCGGCCTTCTCCAAACTCTTCACCCTTTTGTGAACTGCCCTGATAGTGTCACAAGCAAATGCTCAAATCGATGAATTGGACCTCGGTGTGATGGTGACCTCATTACCTCCTACTTTTCCACCTGCCTCCATCTTCTGCATCTGACTGTCCTGCTAGTTAAACCCCTATGGTTTCCGATACCCTCGTCTTCCAAAGGGTCCAGTATCAAAGCCTTCATGTTCATTGGATTGTGTACTGCCCTCCCTCTAAGCTTTATTCTTTTCCTATTCAGGAGCAGGAGGCTCCTTCTCCGTGCATAGGTAAAGAGGGAGTTGAGGGAGGTTGCAGAGAACAAAGTCACGTGACAGAAGATTGCAGACCTGCCAAGAGCCCTGTTGGGTTTAATAGAAGTTAGATTAAAGCGGAACTGAAATCCTGTGATCCTGTTACTGGCCATGCCGGGAATGGGTTTAGGCTGCCTCAAACCGGGAAGGCATGAGCTGCATCTGAACTGGCAGAGCATGGAGGAAGCCCCTATTACATTTGCACAAATCCCTGCAATACATTATACTGCAATGCAGAATACCACCAGCTATAGAGGACTACAAATCCCAGCAATACATAATACAGCAATGCAGAATTTCACCAGCTATAGAGGACTACAAATCTCAGCAATGCATTACACAGCAATGCAGAATTCCACCAGCTATAGAGAACTACAAATACCAGCAATACATTATACAGCAATTGCGAAGAATTACACCAGTTATAGAGGACTACATATACCAGCAATGCACTATACAGCAATGAAGAATTCCACCAGCTACAGAGGACTACAAACCCCAGCAATATATTATACAGCGATGCAAAAGAATAACACCAGCTACAGAGGACTACAAATCCCAGCAATACATTATACAGCAATACAGAATGGAACCGGCTACAGAGGACAACAAATCCCAGCACTTTGTATTGGAAATCTACCACAGTTACCCCTATGTAAAGCCTATGCAGGGTAGCAAGACACTACTCTTTGCAGAGACCCCTGTGAACTGAAACCTTGCAGCAACTGCCACACACTCCATTTCTCATCCACATTACATTTAAAGGCCATGTGGAGGACTATACGCAGTGGGCACAGCTTTCCATAATCCCTTGCCCTAACCAGTGCCTGTTTTACCGTTCTACCAGACAGAGTGGCAAGGACCAATATTCTAATAGCTAATCCGCGCGAAATGGATACCAATAAGATAAGTGTCAAAATTAAATAAATAAACAAAGTCCGCGGCTGTGCCAACTATGTAGTGTGAAATTCTTAAACCATTGCACTGTGCTTTTTTTGTAAATGTTTTTGTGTAGTTGATTGTTATTTGTGTAGCACTTAAGAAATGTGCTTATTTTTTTCTCTATCTGTGTTTACTTTCAGTAAAAATAAAAACAACGGGGCTGTTTTTTTGGCTAAATAATGGGTCCAAAATAGTTAAATGGAGCTTCTGTATCTCATTCAAAGCTCATTGTACGCTTAAAAAACACTTAAAACTATCTTCACCATTGATGCACCACCAATGCATTTATCAAAAATTGTGAACTTTTCTTGAAATCTCCTTTTTTTTTTCCAAAAGTTTGGCAAAAATTAAAACTGATTCGATCATCTTCTTCTTTCCAGTAGTTTTCATGAGTCCCTCCAGCGCTGGTGCCGTCTCTGATCCAGCGCTGACTTCTGTGTCTTCTGTCTCCCATGGAGTCTGTGTGCATGAAAGCTGCTGGCTGCCTGCATTGACTTACCCTGTGTCTCTTCTCCTATCCCACCCGAAGATCTCTACTGCAAATGTGCCCCCACCATGATCCTTAATGGTCGCTCGAGAGTCTTCAGATAGATGCAAAAAAACCTGCAGGCTTAATTCTACTTTAAGGCCTTGTTCACACCAAATGCAGACCAGATCCGGTCAGGTTTCTGCACACGCAGTGTAGTGGGTTGTGTCGCGTTTTAGACGCGTTTTGGATGCGTTTTTGATGCGTTTAGGGCCGGTTTTGGTTAAAAAAAATTACGTTTAACATGGACTTTCAGGCACTTGCATGCGTTTATGATGCGTTTTTGCGTTTTAGATGCGTTTTTGATGCGTTTTTGATGCGTTCCAGACCAGATCCAGAGCAGGTAAAATAGGGCTTGCCGCATTTTTTTCATCCGGTCTGGATCTGGTCTGGGTCCGCACGCTGCGATGTGAACTGGAGGTCAAAATACCATAGGAATACATTGGACGCAGTTTTGATCCGGTCTGCACCTGCTCTGGTCCGGATCTGCTCCGCGCTTGGTGTGAACAAGCCCTAAGTCAACATGTTAGGTTGTAGAGATTGACGGTGATGGTAGAGATTGAAGGTTAGGTTTAGGGTGTGGAATAATATTGTTGTACCAAGATAAAGCCAGTTTTCAAAATCTAAAATGGAAGAGTAACATCTATCATTTAGAAGAGTTACAGTGAAGTTTCAGCAATAATCGGCACTTATACAGCAGCAAGACACTTGACAGATGATACATTTTTATGTGAAGATTCTGTAGAGAATTTTTCCTTCCAGTTTTTCCCTGTGGCGGTGAGCAGCTAAACACACATTTTATTAAACAATGAGCAGTCATGAGCTCCCTCGTAGCTCCTTCAGAAACTCATTCAGTATTTCACTGGGCTTGTTTCATGTCTCGCAGAAGCTATTATTGTGAATAATCGTTTAAGGAGTAAGCCTCTGGAGCAGTGTGCAGACGGGCTGTAGAACAGTTAAAATGAATGTGTCAGGGAAGTATACATGTTTTCTATATGTATTAAGGTCAGGGCTATAAAATAAAGAAAAAGAGAGAAAAATGAAATTTTCAATATTCCTAATACAGTATGTAGTCTTGAATGTAGACAGTGGGTGGAGCCCTTGTCTCTTTTTTTAGATGTTTAGCATTGCATCAATCCCAACTGTGCTGAATAAGGACCATTGTTTAATAGGTCCTCACAGCAATGATTCATTATCAGCAGACTCAGCTGGAGGATTCAGCCAGACAAACAGAGCCTCAAAACAAGCTGCATCTGATGTGCTGGCCCGTGAGGTAACCAATGTGACTTCAAGAATCCATTTGCATGTACTAAAGGATATATACCGTATTTTTCGATCCATAAGACGCATTTGTTTCTCCCCAAAAGGCGGGCAAAAATGTCTGTGTGTCTTATGGAGCGAATATTCCCCCCAGGTCTCGACAATCTCCTACACCAGCAGCCCTGCCACCTCAGCTATCAGCTATCACACACACGTCCAGCGGCTCCAGCAGGGTGATGTGTGTGTGTGTGAGAGCTGAGGCGGCGGGGCTGACAGTGTACCGGTAATCACTCGCATGAGCGATGGGAGGGTAGGGGCCGCTTGTACTACTTATAGAGCCAGCGAAGCAGTGTTATTTACCTCTTCCATAATGCCACTGCCCGTGCTGCCGCAGTCTAACTTCTGTGTCTGACCGGCTTCTCACCTTCCTGTGTCATGCCACATGACAGCGAAAGGGAGGAGTCTCAGTATGCAGAAATTAGACACAGGCAACACAGGCAGCGGCATTGTGGAGGCGGTAAATAAAGTTGTTTCGCTGCCTCTAAGTAGTTTCTTTCCTCTAAACTGCGTCTTATGGTCAGGTGCGTCTTATGAGGCGAAAAATACGGTATATATACATTTACAATTCATCTGTAGCACCAACGTGGAATTTATTCCTTACATCCACATGTTCAATATACAATGGTTTTGTCACATCGAAGCTGGTCCTTCTTTATGTATTGCATGAATGTGCTTGTATACAGGAGCCAAGGACTGGCTCTGAATGCCTGTGTGCAGAATCTTTCGCAGGACTGATTAGCAGATGGGTGCTCTAATTTAACAAAAAATAATTACACTGTTTAACTATTTGGTTTTAGTTGCACAACTTTTGCAAAATATGTGGAAGCCCCTCTGTGTAGTGTGGTCCTAACTCTATGAAAGCCTCCATCTTGAAGCAAAAGGACAAATTGGGTGCAGGTATGCCTGCGGGCAGCCCATACCTCTTAAAGGCACAGGGACTGAAATAAAATAACCCCAAATTACCATTATGCTTTTTAGAAGGGTGCCAACATTTGACTGCTGAGAATCAAGTACACTACACAGTGACCATGCGAGCAGGGCCGGATTTCCCACAAGGCCAACTGAGGCCCCGGCTTGGGGCAGCAGGGAGCAGAGGGCCAGCAGGGAGCAGAAGGGCAGCAGGG